AGCAAAATGGGTTTATAAGCATCATTTTGAAAATGTAGGGAAGGGAGAATTTGCACCCAAAGATGGTAATACAAGCATACCTCATTTTATTGTGCTTTGCTTTTTACACTTCACAAATGTTGTGTTTTTTATAATTTGAAGGCAAGACCCTCCACCAACAAAGAGATTATGACTTGCTTTATTGCAGTACACACTTTATTGAGGTGGTCTGGAACTGAACCCACAATATCTCCAAGGCGTGCCTGTAGTACCAAACCCATTGTTAGTAATTGCCAACATGTAAAATGTGTGCTTTCTTTTAGTTTAGACACACACACACACACACACACACACACACACACACACTCTCACACGGATTTCTTGTATGTTCAGTTATGTTCTTGGTTTCCTGCCCCTGCTTTCCCAGTAAGATCTTAGGTTCCGCCTTATGGGTTTTAAAGAGCCCAACCCTGTGACGTGGTTTAGACCCTGCCACCTTGTCACGTGAAAATCTCCTTTAATGACTGGAAATAGGAAAGTCCTGGGGTCTGGAGGGCTCTGTTCAGAGCAGCCCACCATGACCAAAGGGGGCCTGGGGCACACTCAGGGTTTCCACTGTTAGCTGCAAGAGCCACTCTCAGAGTTGTCTTGTCTCCTTGAACAAAGGAGAGTTAATTACAGAAAACATCAGGAAATTTAAAGGCCATTTGTCACCAGGCTGCAAGGACAGCCGCAGCCCTTGGCAGAGCCACGGGAAGGACTGCTGATGTCAAGCCCAGTCTCTCTGCAGACAGCAATAGTGAGCCTTGTGGGTGTCCTCCTGGACAGGAGGTAAACTCCATGGAGAACATGTGTATTCAAGGAAACAGTGCAGACTCTGGCACGGGCTCGGAGGAGCTGGTGAAGGGAATTTGGAATGCCTTTCTTTCTGTCTAAAGAGTTGGGTCAAATTATCATGATTGTTTCAAGGTATGTAGATTGTTTCAATTCTACACAGTCCGTTACCTACAGATGGGAGGACTGAAAAACAGTGGTGGAGGTCTTTGATTCTAATTAATTTAAAGCTGTTTTTACAGAGCTCTGACACAATTCAGATCATCAGTAGACTCTAGTTGGCAGATACTCTTTTGCTACCAATTTTCCTTATACTGGAAACGGGTGTTAGGAAAATATCTATTATGTTAGAATGCCTAGAATCTGCGGGTTAACAAGATTCCCCAGCGGATTCCTTTGGTCATCTAAAGTTGAGAGGGGCTGAGGGCCTGGACCAGGCTGCTCATTGGAATCCTGGGCAGAGCTTTTAAAACCTGCCCAGGATCCATCTCCAGAGATTTGTCTTGTCTTGGCTCAAGTGATCTTGGGGCCCAGGGCATTGCTATATATTTTTAAAGCCCAGATGATTCTAATGTACAGCCAGGGATGGGAACCACTGCCCTAAACATAAAGACAGACACCATTAGGTAGCTATCTAGATTCAGAATGCATGCAGTCACAATGCAAAAACATGCCATGGCTAACTGGACGTGCCATTCTTTAGAATTTATGAAGACCTAACCTGTTGTATATCGTGGATCTTACTGGTTCATTCTCTGGTTTGAGGCATCTAGAGGATGATGTGTGATGTGGACACTTAGCTGGGCTTGCTGTGCCTGGTAGAATATTCCTGCTCCATTGCTGGAAATGCCTTGAGGCTGGAGGGAGGCCAAGTGGACAGTTGCACTTTACATCTTTGTGCTGCCAGAGAAATGGTTTCAAAATTTAAGGTGTATCACAACATTACCCCCTTCTTCTCATGCATTACTCCTTCCAGTGGCTTTCCATTGCTCACAAGGTAGAAACCAAATTCTGTGACAGCTCTCTAAGGCCCAGCATTATCTGACCATATCTTCCTAAGCTCTGGAAACTGCAGCCACATGGCCTTCCTTCAGTTACCCAGGGGCCCCCAGCTCGCGCCCTTCTACTTCTGGACCTAGTGTCATGCTGTTCCCCTGTTCTGGAATCCGACCCCTTCACCTCCTTAGGTAATTGTGTTGTCCCCATCTCTCTGTCCAGGTCCTGTCCTTTTGTATTGTCCTCTCACAGCACCATGTCCCTCTGCCTCATGCCACTTCTTGGATAGATTCTTTTTTGCATGTGGGTCTTTCCAGTAGATTGCAGGCTCCATAAGACACGAACCGTGTGTGTGTCTTGGTTTGAGACTCAGTGTAGTATCCCTGCTGTTCTGTTGGATGGGTGGGTACACCTTATATCAGTGATGCGAACCTTTTGAGCTCGGCGTGTCAGCATTTTGAAAACCCTAACTTAACTCTGGTGCTGTGTCACATATAGAAATATTTTGATATTTGCAACCATAGTAAAACAAAGATTTATATTTTTGATAATTTATATATTTAAGTACCATTTAACAAAGAAAAATTAAAAAAATGAGTGTGTGTGTCACCTCTGACACGTGTGTCATAGGTTCGCCATCACTGCCTTATATGATGATATTGGTAAATATAATTATTTTAAGGTTGTGTCCTTTAAAAGTTTATGCAGCCCAGCCAGTGTGGCTCAGTGCTTATGAACCAGGAGGTAACGGTTTGATATCTAGTCAGGGCACATGCCTGGGTTGCAGGCTTGATCCCTAGTAGGGGGTGTGCAGGAGGTAGCTAATCAACGATTCTCTCTCATCACTGATATTTCTATCCCTCTCCCTTCCTCTGTCTGAAATCAATAAAAACATACTTTTTGAAAAGTCACGTAGACTAATGTAATTTTTTTTAAAAGTGTATGCAGCTGTCCGTCGGAGTGGCTCAGCTGTTTGAGCATCGTCCTGTGTTGTTGGCTCAATTCCCAGTCTGGGCACATGCCTGGGTTTCAGGTTTGATCTCCAGTCAGGGCACTTACGGAAGGCAAGCAGCCGATGTTTCTCACATCAGTGTTTTCTCACATCAATGTCTCTCTCTCTCTCTCTCTCTCTCTCTCTCTCTAACAAATCTCAGTTTACCTAAATTTTTAACCAGTTTACCTTGACAACTTTTTCACTTGAGTCTGTGTACAATTTATGAATTTTCTTGCAATACCATGAGAAAGATAAAAGAGTAAGTGCTTCATAATTGTGCATCTCCCCATGCCAGCCTTTTCCTGTGGCTTGTGTCTTCATACACAATGAAAGCATCCTTACATAGAGCAGTATCTCCCTGCAGGTCCCAAGTAAACCCACCTTCCCACCTTCCCCAGACTGCCTTCCTTTATCTGGGCAGGGAAGACCACCTTCCTAAGCCCCTGCTGCTGTGTCTATCAAAGGAGCAGTTTCTGATGTAAAAGGGTAATCACCCAGTCTGAGGGGTGGCTCTGGAGAGGGAAGGAATTAGGACCAGGCAGGACCATAGAGAGGTGCCAACCTTATTTGTATACTTGATTTCCTTTTAAAAAACTCAAATAAGTACAACAAAACTATTAGAGCTGAGTGTCCATAAACAGGTATTTGTTATGTTATCCTCTGTACTTTGTTTTAAATATTACATATTTTAAAAACTAAAAAACAATGATGATAGAGATGTATTTACTAAATATTCAGATACATACTGACTTTGCCACTTCATATGAGTTTTTCCCAGAAAGGAAAGTATTTATCATACCTTACAAAGTGGTAGGTAAACTGAATTTCTTAGAAATGAGACAGAAAAAAATTAAACCACAGAAATAAAGACAACAAGGTACATGTATATAGTTGGCATTTTCTATATTTTATTGATTTTTATTATAAAACTAGAGACCCAGTTCACAAAAAATTTGTGCACTTGGGGGTGTCCCTCAACCCGGCCTGTGCCCTCTCACAGTCTGGGACCCCTCGGGGGATGAACACCTGCTGGCTTAGGCCCACTTCCCAGGCTAATCTTCACCTGAGGATATTTTTTCTATTGATTTTAAAAAATATATATTTTATTGATTTTTTTACAGAGAGGAAGGGAGAGGGATAGAGAGCTAGAAACATTGATGAGAGAGAAACATCCATCAGCTGCCTCCTGAACACCCCCTACTGGGGAAGTGCCCTCAACCAAGGTACATGCCCTTGACCAGAATCGAACCTGGGACCCTTCAGTCCGCAGGTCGACGCTATATCCACTGAGCCAAACCGGCCAGGGCTCCATTGATTTTTGTTGTTTGTTAATCCTGACCCACGGCTATTTTTTTCATTTCTTTTTTAGAGTAGAAGGGAGAGAAGAAAAAGGAAAGGGAGGGAGAGAGAAAGAGACAGAGAGAGAAAGTGAGTAAGACTCATCAATTAGTTGCCTCCTCCACATGCCTTAACTAGGGCCAGGGATCAAACTGCAACCCAGGGAATCAAACCTGTGACTTTTGGTCTGCAGGCTGACGTTTTAACCACTGAACCATGCTGGCCAGGGCCCAAGATATCTTTTGATTTCTTCTTCAGTCTCATTGTTAACCCATTCATTGTTTAGTTCCATGTTATTTAGCCTCCATGTCTTTTTCAGTTTTTCAGTTTTTTTTCTGTGGTTGATTTCATTTTTCAAACTATTATGGTCAGAAAATATGTTTGATATAATTTCAGAATTCTTAAATTTATTGATACTCGTTTTGTCTCTTAACATGTGGTCTATCCTAGCAAATATTCTGTGTGCACATGGAAAGAATGTATATTCTCCTGCTTGGAGATGAAATGCTCTAAAGATGTCAGTTAAATCCATCCGGTCTAGTGTGCCATTTAAGGCCACACTTTCCTTGTTGATTTCCTGTCTGGAAGATCTATCCATTGATGTCAATAGGGCATAAGAGTCCCCTACTATGATTGTGTTACTGGCATTCCATCCCTTTACATCCATCAAAATTTGCTTTTAAAATGTAGGTGCTCCTATGTTGGGAGCATACATGATTACAAGGATTATATCCTCTTGTTGGATTGTGCCCTTTATCATTATGTAGTGTCTTTCTTTGTCTCTTACTATAGCCTTTGTTTTAAATATGTTTTTCTTTAAATTGATTTCTGAGAGAGGAAGAGAGATAGAAACATCAATGATGAGAGAGAATCATTGATTGGCTGCCTCCTGCATTCCCCCTACTAGGGATCGAGCCCACAACCTGTCATGTGCCTGGCCTGGGATTTGAACCGTGACCTAGTTCCTAGGTCAATGCTCAACCACTGAGCCCTGCCAGCGGGGCGGATGATACAAGTTTAGAGGAGGCAGGTCCTGTCTCACAGGGGTCTCACAGCGCACTGGAAAGTACACAGGTGGCTGTTTTATCCTTATCGATGGGAAATGGGGCCCAGTGAGCTCATCGTTGACTAATCCCCAGCCTCCCAGCTCAGGGAAGAAGAGAATAGACCAGATCCTGTCCCTGCCCCAGGCCTGGGTGGAAGAAGCAAGGTGCTCCTGACTTTAAATGAAAACCCAAGATTTGGGAAGGCAGGCATGGCTTCAGGATCATGCATGTCTCACATCACAACTTGCCACTGGGCTTCCTGGAGAGCAGATGTGTTCTTCATTTTCCTGATCTCCCTGCTTTGATTTAGAGGTGAGCTTGTTGGGTGGACTAAAATTAGACCCTTTCAAAAACCTAGTTCCCATTGGAAAGTTGAACCGTGAAAGCCTCCTGGGGGTGGGCCTGATGCTGGGTTGGTGCGAGGGCCTGAGACCCAGGAGGTACACAGGGTCTCAGAGCAAGAAGCTGAGAGTGGGCAGTGAAGAGGTCTTTGTGATCCCTGCTGTGCAGTGGAAGTGTGTGTGCATATGTGAAGGGTTCCCTCGTCTGTGTTCACTGGCTACGGCACTTAGCACAGCGTGGACTGCAAGCTCCAGGCCACTCAGCATCGGCCCTCTTCCTCCGCCTCTAACTCGTCCTGAGAACCAGTGCACAGGAGCAGATGCCTCTGCTTAGGTTGCATGCCACCTGCTGAATTCCTATCTCCTTTCTCTGTACTCACTCCCCAGTGCACACTGTCCTCGTTGCCTCCGTTAGAAAAGGCCACAGCTGGGGTTTCTCGGTGGGGCATCCACCGATGGGGATGGACTTTGCTGAGTGTCACTGTCGTGGAAGGACAAGCTTAGTGGACTCAGGAGTGCGGTACCCTGCACCGCTGGGCACAGTCTATGCCTCATTTATCTTTAGAAGGAAGGGCTAGTAGCTTGAGTCGCCTGGGTTGAGTCTGGCCTTCCCTTTCCTTTCATCTTGGGGCAGAGCAGCCTGTCACAACAGTTTCCCACCACCACCCTTAGAAGGGTATATTGATTAAATCAGAAAGTCACAGGGCGCTGAGGTGCTGGCCAGTTCCTGTTTGTAGGGGGTCTGCTCCAAACCAGGTAGGTACACTTAATCCCATGACCACCCTGGAAGGAAGGCCTGGTCTCAGAGATGGGAAGCCAAGCTCAGAGAGGCTAAGTCACTTGCTAAGTCGCAGAGCCAGTGAGTGGTGGGCCCAGCCAGGTCTCTCTGGCTTGTGCAGTGCTATCTCAAAAGATGATGACAGAGGAGAAGGGGGACTCGGCTTGGAAAGGCCAGCTGGCTTCAAGCAGGTGGAGAGGGAGTGGCATTCTCTTTGTTAGGTAGTGTTGCCCAATAAAATACAGGACACTGGTTAAGTTTGAAATTCAGAGAGATAGCAAATAGCTTCTTTTAGTGTAAGTATATCCCATGCACTATTTGAGATATATTGATACTAAAAAGCTCATTTGTTGTTCCTCTGAAATTCAGACTTAACTGGGTGTCTTATGTTTTTGCTTAATCTGTTTAATTTGGTCCCCAGCTTGGGGGCCTCAGGAAGCACACTGGGCCTAATGTATGGGCAGCTGAGGTGACAGAAGGTGATGCACAAGCCACCTGCGAAAGGCTGCACCTTAGGTGGTGAATTCCCCGCTGCAGGGTGTGAGGTGTAGGCTGGGTAACCACATGGTGGGGGACATTTGGGTTTCAGATGCCTGGTCCCAGGGAGAGTCTAGGACGTAAATATTTTTGAGACAAGGAGGAGACGATCCCCTGGGTCCACCCCGAGCTCCGTCCCATCTAGTGTTTAGAAGCTCTCTGAAGCTGTTTGCCATCAGCACATGCTGAGAGGACCAGTTCTCACCACTGGCGAGTGATGGATGCCCTCAGCCTTCTGGCAGAAACCAGCCCAGCCAGCATGGCCCCTTTAAAGGGTTTGGTTTGGCTTGAAGAAGCGCTGTGTTAAAGGTGAAATGAAACATGCATGTTTGTCTCTCTTCCTGAGAACTGACTTGACTTCCTGGTTCTTTATCTGTCTCCTGCAGCAGAGTGGGACTTGTGTGACCTGCATTCCTCCTGGGCAACGAAAGCATGAAAAACACCCACCCCCCAGTTTCTGCGCTGGCCCTTACAGGCAAGTGAATGGAGACAGAGAAGTTTTGAGGTTCATTTCTCCTGTGTACAGACTCTGTGTACAGATTCTGTGTACAGATTCTCTAAGTGTGGCTACATCTCACCGGGAAGTCAGGGTTCTAAGCAGCCTGCTTGAGATGCCCAGTATGGCTTCTGCCCTCTTCGAAGGTCTAGCCCTGGGCAGGACTCCTCTTGCCCACCTGCTTCTCGGCCAGCCGTGGGCAAACTATGGCCTGCGGGCCGGATCCGGCCAGTTTGAAATGAATAAAACTATTGAAAAAAAAAAGACTGTACCCTTTTATGTAATGATGTTTACTTTGAATTTATATTAGTTCACACAAACACTCCATCCATGCTTTCGTTCCGGGTGGGCAAACATGGCCTGCGGGCCGGATCCGGCCGTTTGAAATTAATAAAACTAAAAAAAAAAAAGACCGTACCCTTTTATGTAATGATGTTTACTTTGAATTTATATTAGTTCACACAAACACTCCATCCATGCTTTTGTTCCGGCCCTCTGGTCCAGTTTAAGAACCCATTGTGGCCCTCCAGTCAAAAAGTTTGCCCACCCCTGTTCTAGGCCCTGGTGGGCACTGGGTAAGAGAAACATTTTGATGCATGAAGTGCTAGGTACCTGCAAAGAGGTGCAGTGGTGGTCATCTTGAACCCCAAATCGACGCTTCAGAGGCAGGGTGAGGCAAGGCACAGGGGAGATGTTGGGGGTGTGGGAGCAGTTTTAGGTTGGCGTGAGGAGGACTGCCTCGCAGAAGATGATTGTGGCCTTGGGTGTGCTCAGCTTCCTTATTCTGCATGACACTGCGCACAGCCTCCTGCAGGTGGCGATCCTCAGCACAGGAGGTTGGAAACATTTAGACGTTAGTCTGACCCAGAAAGCAGTCAAGAGGCAAATCTGCAAAAGTAAAATTTTATCACAAGTTCCCAAGCAGAGAGAAGTGGCTCCTTCCCATCCAGGTGTTTTACCTTTGACTTAATTACCAAATCGAGACGTTACTATTAATTAAAAATAAAATGTTAAGTTAAAGACTAAGTCAAAATACCCATGGTATCAATAAAAGGTTTTAAAAAAATAATTGTACTGATGCTCTTAACTGGAATCCCCTATTGTTTTTCTGATCACTTGTTTAATTGATGTATTTGTAAGCAGCAGGAGCACTCTGCTTGTTTTCCAGGAAGAATCGCTGAATGGCTGACGTTTGACAACATGCACCACCAGTGGCTGCTGTTGGCTGCATGCTTTTGGGTGATTTTCATGTTCATGGTGGCCAGTAAATTCATCACCTTGACCTTTAAAGACCCGGATGGTAAGTATGTTCGCCTCGTGGAATGAATTTTGGCTAATCCAGACATTGCTGTGATACTGTTTCTGAGTACATGCACAAATGATCTCTGTCACGGAACCCAAGGACTTTTGTTCCAGAAGATACCAGGGAGGTCATGGCATCGCATCCTTAACCATATAGAGGTGCGGGGTGAAAAGGCAGGGGATGGTTCTCACCAGCTCCGCCCTTCGGGGTGGACAGAACATGGTTTCTTGGTGGGTTCCTTGGTGCCTCCTCCATGGCATCCCACAGGCTCAGAATCTGAGAATGTGTTCTGCTTGGCACCATCCTGAGACAAGACCGTGGTTGATCAGCATGCCTGGGTGCCAGCTGGCGCTGTGCACTGGTGGCCACATGTTTGCAGGTCACCTCAGTGCATCAAAAAGAAGGTGATTTAAATATGTGCGTGTCAGGTTGTGGTTGAGCATTTTTAACTCCCTTGACTTGATGTGGGCAGTCAGATGAGGACACAGAGAGTGCCCAGCCCAGCTTCAGCAGAGCTGCTTCCAGGTCTTGCTCTTGTCCTTCGCTTACCTGGGTCTTAGCCCCTCAGACTGACCTGAGCACAGCGAGGCTTTCTGAGTGTGCGGTGCGGTGCTGGGCATGCACAAGGAGGTGCAGTGGTGGTCATCCTGAACCCCAAAGTGACTCCTTTCAGAGGCAGAGTGAGGCGAAACACAGGGGAGGTGTCAGGCTTAGGAGCAGTTTTAGGTTGGCCTGACGCGGTCTCCTAACAGAAGATGTTTGTGACCGTGGGTGTGCTCATTATCCTTATTTTGCACGACTCTTTGTACATCCTGCAGAGGGTGGCCCTTAGCAAAGGAGATTAGAAAATTATCACAGGAGCACTTTCCCGATTTTCGCCGGCAGGCCCTGCTATGCCTAGAGCCCCTGGGTGTGCAGCACTGAGGGCTGCCTGGTGCCCCCCATCTCCTGCCCCTGCCTCTGTGTCTCCCTGTCTGTTCAGTAACAACAAGGTTGGAAGAGGATCTGCAGGCAGAAGAGGGTAGCCCTGAAATCAGCCCCAAGGCGGGGTTCTTAGCTCAGTAGTTTCCACTAACAACAGTTGTCAGTTACCAGGCCCTCAGTACTTGAGGCCCAACAGGCTATCCCCTCACAAGTCACCCCTCATCCATGAGAACCTGGGGCTTCGCAGCCTCGGGACGGTAGTCTCATCCCTGCAGGTATCCAGGTGGCCAGGACCATCACAGGTAACTGTGGCTCGCCCTGGGCACTGGGGCCTCTGTGAGACACACGGGCTCCGTCTCGGAGCCTTGTTGGACTGTGAGGCGGTGAGCTTAGCCTGGGAGTTTGGACATGGCTCCGCTGCCCCAGTGTGGTTACCGAGAATGGAGGCCCCTTGCTGAGAGGTCGGGCAGCGGTTCTCCTCCTCCTGGCATTTCAGAATCACTGGGGGGGCTTTGAAAACCTTTGCTGCTTGAGGCCAACCAGAGACTAAGTCATTTTGAATCTAGGAGTGGGGCCCGGTGGAGAGCCCCAAGTGTGAACAGAGCTGGGAAGCTGAACGAGAATGGGAGCTGCTGAGACCATGAAACCACACATTTCACTTGTGAGTTCTTTAAAAGTCACCGCCTGGTAAGGAAGGCACCTACAGGGCAGGTCACGAGGTTAAAGTATTTATGGCTTATTTTGTTTAAAAAAGTAGAATAGGTAATATATTTATGAGACGTCCATAAAAAATAATTAAATTAGATGTGTGTTTTGCGTTATATTATTCTCTGGCTCCTCTGGAGAACACCTCATTCCTCCGTGGTAACTGATGAACGAGGTTTCATTCTGCCTTGATATGGCAGATTTTATGCTGAATGTTTTCAGAAAAGTGTTAAAGCTTAGAGGTTTTGTAAAGGGGAGTAAAAAATTACAGGGAAAGAAGGCAAAACCTACAGGGAAGGATGAAAAGTTTTGGAATTTTATTTATTATTTTAGAAATGTTTTATTGAATCTATTGGATGCTTTGGGATTTAAGACCTGAGAAAAGATGAGTGTAGTCCTCTGTGCTGCTCACCAGATATCTCCAGCCCTTTAAAGGTGAGTGGTAATTCCTTGTGCCCTCTGATGCCCCGTGTGGCCGTGTGATGGCTGTGGCCAGTGAACCACTCCAGGGGGGAACTTTGGAGCCAGCGCACACTGGGCCCCCCTCAGTGAAGCATGATGAGGGTCCTGGTGAGGATGGGCCACCAGTGAGGGTGGTGTCAGCCCCATGATGTGCACTGAACTCAGTGAGAACTCTTTGCTGTTGGGCCCACAACATAGTGCAGCCATCTTTGACTACGGAGGACTTGTCCCTAAGTGCCTGGCTAGAATCACAGAGATGGATGTCTGTTAGCTGAGTTATGAATAAAGGCAGTGAGCTCTCACACAGGGTCTACTAGTGTAGATGATTGAGCTCCTTAAATTTAAAGTTAAACAACCCCCCTGAAGGCCATCAGAGAGTGGGTTGTGGTTCAGGCATCTCCTGCCCCTGAGCCCTACGTTTTAGTGGGAATGGTCACTTACCCCCTCTGTCTCTGGGGCTAGCGGGGAGCCTTAACCCCCTGGTGGGTCTGAGAGCTGAACAGGAAACTGAAAGAGTTTTGTAAACTTGTGTCTGCAAGAGATTTTTCTCATGTGTTAGGCTTTGTCTTACTGGTGGTCACAGTATTTTCACCTTTGAACCAAAAGCCTTGTGTGAAATATTTATCACAAGGAAATAACTGGCAACACAGCAGGATCATGCATCCATTTCCTGAAACGCAGGTAGCGAATCCTTGGTCCCACAGCACCGAGGTGACGGTTGTAACGCAGTGTCTGTGGGGCGGCTTGTCTGGCTCTGTCCTCTGGGAAACCGGCTCTGTTCTAGACCTCCTCAGTGGAGGGGCGTGTTTTCTTCTCACCTTCCTGTTCCTGATGATTCCCTCGCTAGGTAAGCTGATAGGAAGAGCAGGTATGTCCTGAACTGCTGTTGAAAGCAACGCTTACCTTGTTTTTTGTTTTTAATAGGGTTATGGTCTCTCTTCAGCTCAGCAATGAAGCCGCAGTGATATTTGTGGCAGTGGCTTATCTGTGGTTGACACATTCAAGTGTCATATTGAACTAGGATCGGGAGTTGTAACTAGCTTTATTATAGGGAAATAGATCCCATCCAGCGATGGGAATTTCATGGCAGGGACGTTGAGAATAGTGCATCTGGTGCATAAGTGTGGACACTGATTTTCGGCTCACTTCTGTTTGACGTCCTCTCCCAATCTTTTGCTCCACTTAGCCCCTCACCTTGGTTGTAAGCCACTTAAGGACAGAGCCAGTGACTTCAGAGTCTTTGCCTGCCTCCTGCCTGGTGTGTGAAGGGGAGACACTGGGTGACTGGACACAGCATGGTCACGGAGATGAGTGGATGTGATCCCTTCTAGAAAAACAAAGCAGTGCGTCGCTTGGTAAATTTAAATGCATTGTGAACAGAATGAGACCTATACCGAAAGTGAGCTGAGAGGCTATGAAGGCACCTGGCCATAACTGGAGGATCGGAATCCTTGGTCTCGCAGCTGGAGTCTTGTTCCTGAGGGCCAGAGGGGAAGGGAACCACTGTTTGATCATAGTGGCATAATGATACCTGCTGGAAATAAATGGTCATCGACAAAGCAATGGAAAGACCAAACCAAACATAAATCATGCTGCCAGTTTTATTTCAGTCTCTTCGAAGCAGGGCCAAGGCGAGCTGGGGAGACAACACCAGGAAGTTTAAAATCATAAAAATGCTAAAAATGGGCAGATGCCTGGCCAGTATGTGAGATGGTCCACAGCTGCCAGAGCCCAATTATTTTGCTCCTGGTACATGAAATGGGCTGCTCTTCAAAAGCTGATTGATTGATAGGTCAGTTGTTTAAAATTCACAATACATTGTCCTATTTAAATGTTATTAGAAGCTTAGATTTCTACAGAAGTCTGTTGAACTCAGTGTTGAACTAGCTAAGCATTGTAATGCTAGTAGTAGAAGATGCTGTGGGAACAGGAAGTGACCAGACGGGAGGGGAATGTGACCTTTTTTTGAGCACCTTAGTGCTGCTCCAGAGGTGGTCAGATTGCGCAGGAGGAGGACAGACAGACGTTGGTGTCAGAGCCTGTGTGCGTCCAGCAGCTTTGCTGATGGCACTGATGCCTTGTCTAGTTCCGCACCATAAACAACACTCGTGTCCCTGTTACAGGTCCAGAACAGCCGCTGGGCACAGCTCTGGTTAGGTTGCCTTTTAACCCAAACCTAGAAAATGGGAAAAAAATACTTTAGTGGGATTCATAAAGGTGCATGGCAGAGAGATTTCTACTGGAGTCAGAAAAGGAAGCTGTGGAGATGGGTTACTGTTGTCGGGGCTTTGGTAAGGAGTTCTCCATGTGCGTTCTCCTGGCAGTGCTGGACGGGGAGGGGGGACGCGAGGACTGGGCAGGTGGGGCTGCAGAGGAGTGTTCAGTGTTGGTATTAAGGACCTAAAGGGGGAGGTTTGATTTTTTTTAAAAAATGAACTGTGCCTTTGTCCATGCTTCGTTTTGCTGATTTTTATAATTTTATTTGCTCTATTTTTTCTAGGTATGTATTAGTGTTTGCAAAGTTTTGAAAAATAAATGTTTGATTATAGAGGTCTGAAACTTATCTTCAAATTTTGCTCCAAAGGTCTTCCAAAAATCAGTTGGCTATAAATTATTATTCTGGACTAGCACCTCGTAAGATTTCTCTAGTCTCATTTCAGTTCCCATGGTTTTTAAAAATATATATATATGTATTTTTTATTGATTTCAGAGAGGAAGGGCGAGGGAGAGATAGAAACATCAATGATGAGAGAGAATCATTGATTGGTTGCCTCCCCCATACCCCCTACTGGGGATCAAGCCTGCAACTCGGGCATGTGCCCCTGACCAGAATCGAACCCAGACCTTTCAGTCCCCAGTCCAATGCTGTATCCACTGAACCAAACCGGCCAGGGCAGTTCCCATGAATTTTTAAATTAGTATGTAAGCACTAACTTGACCTCTAACCTGGCTTTTTAAAAAATTAAATTTCTTGCCCTAACCGGTTTGGCTCAGTGGATAGAGCGTCAGCCTGCGGACTCAAGGGTCCCAGGTTCGATTCTGATCAAGGGCATGTACCTTGGTTGCGGGCACATCCCCAGTGGGGAGGGAGGCAGCTGATCGGTGTTTCTCTCTCATCGATGTTTCTAACTCTCTATCCCTCTCCTTTCCTCTCTGTAAAAAATCAATAAAATATATTTTTTTAAAAAAATAAATTTCTTATTTGGGGGATCATTATAGAGTCACATGCAGTTGCAACAAATAACAGATTGAGTTCTATGTCCCTTGACTCAGTTTCCCCAAGTGGTAACATCTTTCAGAGCTATGCTGCAGAATCATGAGCAGGATGCTGATGTCAAAATGCCAAACACCTTCCTCACCACAGGAATCCCTCCTGTTGCCTTTTATAGCCACACTCACCTCCTTCTCCCCATCCTGCACCCCCACTCTCTCCCAGTGATCACTAATCTCTTCTCCATCATTTTGTCATTTCAGGAAAATTATAATGGGAGGGGATTTAGGGAGCTAGATTTAAAAAGTGAAGGGATTAAGAAGTACAAATTGGCAGTTACAGAATAGTCATGGGAATGTAAAAGACAGCATAGAGAATATAGTCAATATTGTAATTACTATGTATGGTGCCAGGTGGGTACTAGCCTTATCAGGAGGATCACTACATAAGGTATGTAAATGTGTAAACAGTATGCTACACACCTAAAACTAATATTGAATGTGAACTGTAATTGAAAACTTTTTTCACTTTTTAAAATTTAAGTGAAAAAAAAAAGAATATTATATCCAGCATGTGACCTTTTAGGATTGCCTTTTATTTCTCAGCATAAACAAATCCCTGGGGATTCATCCGATTTGTGTGTATCAGTAATTTGTTGCTTTTTATTGCTGTATTCCAAGGTGGATGTCCCCATTTTTTAACCTGTTGGAGTATGTCTGGATTGTTTCCATTTTGGGGGCGATTACAAATGGAGCTGCTCCAAACATTTGCGCGCAGGGTTTTGCATGAACATAGTTCTCATTTCTCTGGGATAAATGCCTGGGAACAGTTGCTGGGTTGTATGCTAGCTGCAGCTTAGTTTTTAAAGAAATGACCAAACTGTTTTCCAGAGTTGTACCATTTTGCATTCCTACCAGCAATGTATGAATGATTCCGTTTCTCTGCATCCTCACTAGCATTTTGTATTTTCACTATTTTGTATTTTAGCTGTTTTGCTAGGTGTGTAGTGGTATCTCACTGTGTGTTGCTTTGAGTTTTTTTTAAATTAAAGTTGACATACAATATTATATTAGTTTCAGGTGTACAACCCCATGATTAAACATTTTTAAAAATATATTTTATTGATCTTTTACAGAGAGGAAGGGAGAGGGATAGAGAGTTAGAAACATCGATGAAAGAGAAACATTGATCAGCTGCCTCCTGCACACCCCTACTGGGAATGTGCCCGCAACTAAGGCAATGGCCTTGACCGGAATCAAACCTGGGACCCTTGAGTCCACAGGCCGACGCTCTATCCACTGAGCCAAACCGGTTAGGGCTGATTAAACATTTATATAACTTACGAATTGATCACCCTGATAAATCTAGTAGCCCTCTGACACCATACTCAGTTACTACAATATTATTGACCATATTCCCTATATTGTACTTGATATCCTTGTGAAGGGTGGACCAAAGGTAGGTTTATAGTTGTGAGTACATGAAACACAATTTATTCTTGCATTATTGTTTCTTAATTAGTGTATTATTTTCCATGCCAATAGCTGTAAACCTACTTTTGCCCCACCCTGTAGCAATTCGATGTGGTTTTAATTTGCATTTACCTGATGGCTCATGATGTTGAACATCCTTTCATGTGTTTATGTACTACCTGTTTATCCTCTTTGGTGAAATGTCTGTTCATGTCTTATCCACTTTCTAATTGGATTATTTTTTACTGTTGAATTTTGAGAGTTCTCATGTATTCTAGGGATAACTCCTTTGCAATTTTTTTCTCCTGGGCTGTAGTTTGCCTTTCTGTGATCTGTGCAAAGCAAAGTTTTTATTTTGAGGAGGTTTACTTTATCAAATTTTCCAAAACTTTTCTCCTATGTTTTTTATTTTTATTTTTACAGTTTTATGTGTCTACTAGAGGCCTGGTGGATGGGGTCCCTTGGCCTGGCCTACGCCCTCTCGCAATCCGGGACCCTTCAGGGGATGTCGGAGAGCCAGATTCGGTCCGATCCCCGCAGGCCAGGTCGAGGGACCCCACCAGTGCATGAATCTGTGCACCAGGCCTCTAGTATGCATATAAGATCTTTGGTTAATCTCTTCCCACCCTCCCACCTTCCTTCTGAGATTCATTGGTCTGTCCCATGTTTCCATGCCTGTACATTGAGCATCTGCCCCCTCGTGGTAGTGCACAACATAGCTACTGGTTGAATGGTAGAACGGTTACTTAGGCTTTTATATATATAGATAGATAGATGTTCAATTGCTCAAGTACCACTTGTTGAAAAGACTTCCCCCTCTACCCAATTGCTTTTGCACCTGTCAAATACTGGTTGGGCGTGTCCATGTAGGCCCACTTCTAGGCCTCTTTTCTGCTCCTCCATACATTGAGCATCTGCCCCCTGATGGTAGTGCACGTCATAGCTGCTAGTTGAACCGTCGAACGGTCACTTAGGCTTTTACATATATAGATAGATGTTCAATTGCTCAATTACCATTTGTGGAAAAGACTTCCCCCTCTACCGAATTGCTTTTGCGCTTGTCAAATACTGGTTGGGCGTCTCTGTTTAGGCCCACTTCTAGGCCTCTTTTCTGCTCCTCCATGAGAAGAGTTCTCACCTCTCTGTCTCTTAGCCTACAGCGCCAAACAGGAGTTCCTGTTCCTGACAGCCTTGCCGGATTCCAGGAAGTTACAGGGAGAGCAGCAGTTTCCTGAGGAACTGAAGGTAGGCACAGCCAGGTAGAGGGCCTTGTCCCTTCTGGCCTGGTCAGCAGAGGAGCAGGGCTGCCTCTTCCCACTCTTCCCTGTGGTGTCTCGGTCTCTCTGTGCCCTCCCTCCAGCACCAGCAGGTTGCCCCATCACTGAATGGGCACTGGCCTGCCTGCTCCCTGAGCTCATCAGCTGTTCCCACTTACCATCATGCTCTGCTGTGTAGTCACTGCTTCTGTCCCTTCTGCACCTTTCTGCTCACCTTTGAGCTTCTCTTTGGGGAGGCACAGTCACACTTATTTATGTTCCTCACAGGGCTTTGTACATCGTGGGTGCTCTGTAATACCCATTGTGCTGCATTCATGACCAGCTGACAGTGAACCTTGCCGGGGGGTGGAGGATGTTGGGCAAGGTCAGGAGAAAACCAGGGCTGTGGGAAAAGGTCTCTGACCCAGAATCAGGGAAGTTTAGAGTTAACAGGGTCTTGGACAGAGGAGCAGGTCATCCAGCGCGGGAGTCGTGTGGGTGAGAGCTGCGTTTAGGAGAAAGGCTGATGATCCAGAATCACATGGACATTCTGACCTAAATCTTTCTTCTCAGGCTCCTTTCACACATAAATTCCTAGTCACGCCTCAGTGAGGAACGCCCTCTCACTTGCTGACCCCCATTCTGGGTCTGAAAGGTTTAGGTTGCAATTACGCTGGAAGGAATGAAATGGGTAGTGCAAGCTCTAAAGATGTGTATCAGCTCAGAATTAAACAGAGAAGGGACCGTTTCTGCCTGTGACTTACAGTGTAAGGATGAGGAATTAGGACCCAGAGTCTAAAAAGCCAGCACCTGCTCAGAGTGACTTTCTGTTGGAGTTAACTGTTCACAAGAGTGGATGCAGTAAGGATCAGGTCTGCGGACCTCGTGTCAGATGGGCCTGTGATGTTGCTTTTAGTTTGGGGTAGTCCAGGGCAAGGAAGGTGTGGGTGGACAAGAAGCAAACCTATAGGAAGTAGGAGGGTGGCTTTCATAGAAAGAGTTAAGGAAACTGATGTTTAGTGACTGGGATGAATAAGGACCCAAAGGGAGGGTAAGACTGCTCTCTGGGGAGGAACAGAGGTCGCTTTGCAGAGGACAGAGGGGGCACTCTGCAGGTGTTGTCTCCCTTCCTCAGTGTCTTCACCTTGGGAAGCAGAGGCAGGAATCCCCAAGACATTCGTCCCTCCTCCAGGGAAATGCAAGAAACGTTATCAAACACAGAAGAGAGCAAGAGTTTCTTGAAAAAGGTCATGTGAGCCAGGGAGTTGGTTGTGGTAGATCCGTGAAGGAAGAGCAGGAAGCCAGGTGGTGGGGTGAAACCTGTATTGTCCCGAAATTTCCAGTGTCCTTGTTCTCCAGGGCTCTGTCCTCCCATTTTGTTACTGACCCAGTTGTTTGGGAAGGACAGAGTGTTACAACTGCCCCCTAAATGGTTTGCTTGGGGAGCCTACGGCATTTTAACAAATACAATAAGAGCATTTGGGTCCATTTAATAGTTAATTTAGAGGAGCCATCTGCTTTGAAATCTTGGGAGGAAGTTCTTTGTAACTTTAAGGGAATAAGTAGACATAGCAGCAGAATAAGTAGATGAGCTGCAGAACAGGGCCACACCTAGAAGTGGCCAAAGGAGTGGGCCCGGAGAAAAAGGCTCCCTGGTCAGCAATGCCTTCCCCCACCTTCTGCCCCCAACATGCACATACGCACACACATGCAGTGCCGTGTGTGTTCTTGTGTTACAGATATTCTAAATGCCAAGCCATGCCAAGGGGTATATGCCGTACTTTGGAACTTGAACTTTTTTCTCTGTTTTGGCTTTTTTCATCAGATGAACCCGTCATGCATCCGCTCTCCTTGCCATGTATGACACCCCCGTGATTCACTGGGCAGTGGAAGGCCCTGAGGACGGCATCAGGAAGTGGCTGGGAAGAGTGGTTGTCACTGTAGAAAAAGGGAGGGAGAAAGGGAGGAAGGGAAGAAGAGAAGGTGCCTGTGGATGGGGAGGAAAGGACAGGCCAGCCCTGCGAGGAAACCCAGGGTGCTTGGTGGAGGCTGAGGAAGGTGGAGCTGAAGGAAGAGGGAAGAATGCTGTGCTGTCTTTGCCCAGCTGCCTTCGGATAGAATTAATCTACAGAGGACTTGGGAGAGTTTTCTAGAACTTCTCAGAAGTCTCTATAGGTGCCCACACCCCCTCGCCAATATTTGCTGCTGTTGTTGCATTTGTGAGCATTTAATAAATTTCCCTCCATGTGGCTTCGAGATCCAAGACCCAGGCCCTGCCAACACCCTTTATCTTCTCAGCTCTTTTCTGAAGAAGTTGGCCTTCACAGTGGTGCCTGCTTTGGGGGCTTTCCCTTCCCCAGAACTTGGTCGTAGCCCGATCGCACCACGTCAGTGATGGGAGCAACTCGTCTTGTGTTTGGCATCACTTACCTGGGGCTGCTCCCTGACCAAGGCCCACAGTTACCGAGGCTGACAGTTGGGCAGAAGCTCAGGTTCCCTGTGAAGGGGTCATGCCTCACACCAACTTCCCCAAAGGAGTGACATGTGTCCAAGTTGATGCTGTGATGATGTGAGCCACCAGCAGGACCTTGGCCTTCCGGTGCCTCCTGTGCTGCCAATGCGGCCGTGGCCATGGCTCACGTGGCCCTGATGTTCCCGGAGCTTCCTCAGTCTGGATGGCATGTCGGTAGCCTCGATGCCGTAGCCAATATTTTTAAATAGAGTTTTTTTACTAAAAAGTAATACATACTTGTGTATTTTAAAGAAATACCTGAAATTGAAAGGAAAAAGCTCAACTTTTGTATATTTCCTTTTTAAAACCCATTTAGGTATTATACATATATGTATGGCCTGTGACTCCATTTCCCCAGGATAGGCACACAGTCATGTTTCTCTGTAACGTGGATTGAAGAGAAGGGCAGGGGTTGGAAGTTTAGCCGCTGTGGGTGGATGCTGGAGCACCTCCTAACTTAACATGACCTTTCCCTGTCTCAGAGTCCTGAGCTGAAGATATAGGCAGAAAGGCTCACTGTATTCCAGGCAAATCGGTGAAGAGACACACTCTGACACTTCCTGGCCAAGTGTTGAAAGTGCTAGAATCAAGAGGAGAAAATGCTATAAGCCACCCAGGGATTAAAATGGGTGGTTAGCCATGGCCAGGTGGATCAGTGGTTACAGTGTCCCCTGAGCACTGAAAGGTCATGGATTTGATTTCAGGCCAAGGGCATGTACCTAGGTTGTGGGTTCCATCCCTAGTTGGAGCATGTACAGGAGGCAACAATCTCTCTCTCTCTCTCTCTCTCTCTCTCTCTTTCAAAATCAATAGAAACATACCCTCAGGTGAGAATTAAACAATAAGTAAATAAATAAATAAATAAATAAATAAATAAATAAATAATGGTTGACTTCTTCCCTGGCCTGGTAGCCCAGTTGGTTAGAGCATGGTCCCGGTATGCCAAGGTTGTGGGTTCAATCTCCCATCAGGGCACACATAGGACACACATAAGAAGCAACCAATGAATGTATCAATAAGTGGAACAACAAATCAATGTTTCTCTCTCTCTCTCAAAAATCAATAACAATAATAATAATAATAATAATAAAAGAGTTTGTAAATGAGGTGCATACAAAGAAATGACAGTCAGATGGGGGTGGGGGTGGGGGTGGGCTCCCTGCAGTGAAGCCTCAGCTCGGGAATTGGGCGGCAGAGCCGTGACTCTGTTTTTGTGGGGTTGTTTGTTTTGTTTTGTTTTGTTTTATTTCAGAGGTTTCGAGAGAGAGAAGCATCAGTGATGAGAGCAAATCATTGATTCATTGATTGGCTGCCTCCTGTACGCTCCACACTGGAGATCGAGCCCACAACCCAGGCATGTGCCCCTGACTGGAATTGAACCTGGGACCCTTCACTCGCAGGCTGACCCTCTATCCACTGAGCCACACCAACTAGAGCCGTGACTCTGTGTTCATTCCGGGTCTGCCCTGTGTGGGGGCAGCAGCAGGCCTGTCTCAGGCACGCCCGGCTAGGAGCTGTGCCTCCTATGTACTATGTTTTTGAGGGGAAAAGCTACTGAAAGACCTTTTCCAGATAACAGAGATGGTCAGAACCAACACTCAAAAGTGGTGACATCACAGAGCAAAGAAGGTCCGCCCTTCCCTCGTGTGGCTGGACCCCAAGTCAGAAACCCAACGGGAGGCTGTGCTCCTGCTGTCCCTGTGGCCTCGGGCTCCCGGAGTCTGTCAGCACCCCCGCCCCTGCTTGGTCTCGGGCCCACTTTCCTGGTGGGTCGGGGTTTCTGGCGTCAGACTTCGTCCCACAGTCACGGATTTTCTTATCTGGTTGATAACTCCTTAGAGAACAAGCGAGTGCTGGCGTCTCCCTCCAGCATGTGCTCATAGTGCTGCATGCCGGTGGGACCACCAAGCAAAGCCCTCCTTCACCTGCATCACAGGAAACACCACTGTGTGCTCATTGTTACCAGAGCAGGTCTGCCGCAGGCCGGCTTCTCGTGTGTGGGTTCTTTGTGTAGGAAGGTTTTGCAACTTGAGTCCAGATGGGTTTGAATGAACGTTTATTAAAGCTGGGGACAGTGAAACTGGAAGGAATTGGCTAAAGAAACAAGGCAGGGCTCTGCTTTGGCTCTTTAGAAATGTTAAAGGAGCAGGTAGCCTGGGCGGGCTGCTGTAGCTCACAGGGAAGTCAGAGAGTAAGGGGCTTTGGAGACAGGATCAGGGTGAGCCCAAGTGGAGTGGTCGCTGCCCACTGCTCTGCTGGTTACGTCTCATGGGGATTCTTACAAAGAAAACGTTCATGCCTGGGAAGGGGCAGGGGCGAGCTCTAGAGCCAGCCCACATTGTCTTTCCTGAGGGCTTTTTATCCTTTTTTCCCTGCAGGCCAGAATCTTCATCAGCTTCCCAGGTGCATTTTTAATGTGCTGATGCATCAAAATGCGTGCATAGGGGAGTTTGGGGTTATTCTTTGGGCTGTTTTACTGTTATCTTATGTCTGTTGGGCATGAATGGGGGTTTTGTTATTTGTTCCTTGGGTCTAGCTGGCACAGATGGCCTTGATTGGGTCTTTGTTCTGTTTTCCCAGGCCAGGGGGTTTCAGATGTCTGTCCTCTGGTTAGGGAGGAGGGTATAAACCACTTGCTCGCAAGTGTCCTTTGTTGGGGAAGGTGAGGTCTTTCGACTCACAAGCTGGCTGCAAGCTGCCCAAACTGTTTGGCCTTGTTTCATTTTCTTGTCCCAGTTTCCCCATTCCACTTACCCGGGGATTTTCCTAGCTTCCTACTCTCCTGCTACACTTACCACTGAGGAAATGGAGTCATGGCTGCTGCATTTTCAAAACATACTAAATGACCTAAGGTGTTTTTTAAATTAATAAACAAGACTACCTCCCAATTAGTCACCATGCAGACAGCTGGTCCTTCTATACAGGCCATACAGGCACACGTAGAATCACGGGAAGGGAAAGGATATGGAGAATGGGGGGAAGAGGGGAGGGGGAGGGGGAGGGGGGGAGAGGAAACTGGCCTTCCCTGAAGCCCTGTATGAAAAGTGTCCTGCAGTTTCCAGAAAATTAAGGGTCATAATTTCATCAGCAAAATGACTGGTAGACACCCCACCCACCACCCCTCATTTGGTCCGAGCTGAGGACAAGGAACAAGAGGGTTCGCTTCTCTCTGAACGTGGACCTGAGTCCCAGGCCCCTGGCGGTGAATCCGGTCCACAGGGCCCTGCCTATGTCGGATGCAGCTTCTCTGTGTGCCCAGCTGGAGGCCAGAGCGCAGGGCTCCCGGCGGCAGCCTGTCTTCTGCTCAGGAGGCCCTCGGGCCCTTTGCCTCCCTGTCCCTGCAGCCAACAGGGAAGATGGTCGCAGACGGCCAGCCGGCTCAGCCCTCGGTCTATATGGAGCGCCTGGAGCTCATCCGGAACGTCTGCAGGGACGCGGCCCTGAAGAACCTCTCACACACGGCCGTGTCCAAGTTTGTCCTGGACCGAATATTCGTCTGTGACAAGCACAAGATCCTCTTCTGCCAGACCCCCAAAGTGGGCAACACGCAGTGGAAGAAAGTGCTGATCGTGTTAAACGGTGGGTGCCGGGCCCGTGGTGTGTTCTCCCTCGGTGACTTTGGGGTTTGCCCGGGGAGGGCCACTGTGACCTGGGGGTGGGGGGAGGCAGACAGGGGGGCAGAGAGGAGCCACCGGAAGGGACACCTAAGAGGAGCTGGTAACCTGTCAGACAGCTCTCCGTTGTGTTTTTCCTGTGAGTGTTGTACTTTAAAAGTTAGTGGGGTTAATGTGGATACTGGTTGTTCTCAAAGGGCCACCCCTAAGGCCACCATCTCCTCACTTTCCACAGCAGAGCCCCCATCTCAGGCAGCCTGCTCCCCTGGTGGGTCCCGTTCCTTCTCTTCAGATTCACAGCATCGATTCTTACTAGACACTGGCTCACCGAGTGCCAGGAAGCCGCCCCCAACACTGCCCTTCCTATAGTGAGAAGGGCGCCTACCCCAGGCCCTGGGAGGGGAGCCTCTCCCACAGACAAAGGATTCAGTGCCACGTGGGTAGAAAGAAATGCCCTCATCTTACACCAAGCATCATATTCAGAGGATTTAACTGACTTGCCTCAGGAAATCTGATGTTTTCCTGGGAACAAATGAGATCACTGGCAAGTGACCTCAAACCCTAGTTTTTTACTATTCACTGCTCTTCCAGACACCATGTTTATTAAACTCTACGTACTCTGAACTGACAAGATACTTATGGGTTCTGTGTCTTAAATTCAGCTGTAAAAGAAGCAGGGCTCCAGCTCAGAGCCAGGTGACCCTGGATGAAGATGTGACCTGGGAGGCCTGTGGGCGGTGGCCCTGGCCTCTGTCCCCTGTCCGACTGCTGCTCTGCCCTCAGTCAGGGGTCAGAGTTTGTTGTCTTTGGCCTTTTCCCAGGTTGGCTGGGGGAGAAGAGAGACACTCGCCTCGTTTTCTGGTATATAATGAATATGCTTGAGTAATCTGACTGCATGTTGGATTTTTGATGTCGTAGAATGAGGTTACAAATCAAATTCTTACAAATCTGCCACCACTGTATGAAGCATCAGTCAAAGGCCGGTCCAAACAGGAGCAGGTTGCCAGGGCGCATGTAGGCGCACCCGAGAGGCACTGTGACCCTCCCAGACCACTGCTGTGAAGGAGACATGGCAGCGGAGCCAGCCACAATCCTCTTGCTGGTCGAGGTTCTTGCCTTCAATTGTAAAAGTTCAGTTTGTAACAAAACACAGCATCTGCAAAGCGTGATAAAGCAAAACACAATAAAACAAGGTTTGCCTGCAATAGAAAAGCAGGTGGTCCATGTGGCTGCCTTCTGCCGGCCCTACATGCACCTGGATGGGGACAGATACCTGAGCGGGCCCATGTGCAAATCCACAGGTTGGTTCATTTGACAGTCTTGCCCATTTAGAGCCATCCACAGCAGGTAGCGTAGAGGTCTAGACTGGCACTTCCACATTTGGGGGAAGAATAAATGAGATAGGCTATGGCCACTGCTTAGATGGCCCAACAGATTTTCCCCCACCAGACTGCACGCGTAACAAGGCAGGAGTAACACAAAGATGGGTGTAAAGGTTTGCAGAGGCTTGGCTAAAAGCTCGGGTGATGACACTTTATTCCCATTCATCCAAGTTGGGAAAAGAATGAAAAGCCTGCCCAACCCGCCAACCCAAGGATGCCCTCCCCAGGTTACACGCGTCAGCCTGCCTCTGAGCACTGTGCTCTTGACCCTGCCATTTTCTCCTCAGTCACTGCGTCTCAACCTTGACCCTTGCTTCAAATATATCTATCCCACGACATTAGCTGGATTGTTGCAGCACCAAACATCTCTGCCACTTGCCACATCTCTGGGATGCCCTGAGGTTGCCTAGGAACCCACCTGAGGCCCAGGGATGTGGCCCTGGGAACACCTTGCCTGTCGGGAGTGACGGGCCTGTGAGTGCTGGGGGTGTGAGCAGGTGGTTCTCATGAGCCGTTTCACAGTAGAGAGAGTGTGGGAGGCCTTAGGCATTCTGTTTGCATGCAGCCATGTGTCTGTTGGCAGATTTAGCCCATTCCAGTGTGCTACCAGGGTAGGTCTCATCCTTCCTTCCACCCCTTACTCGCTCCCTCGCCCTCCTCCTCTTACTCCTCTTGTTTCCTCCTGTTGGCTTACAGGTGACCAGCGCTTGTCTGCACTCTCATTTTGCCACGCCTCACTCGTCTTAGTTGGAATTCAGTATCACCATGGATATTGGGGATGACTTGTGGGGAGCGTGGGCCTAAGTTAAAAGACGGGCATCTTCTTTAAAGGTAGCACTGAGGGGGCCACACAACTTCTCCCTTGTTTACTTCCCAGGTGCCTTTCCTTCCATCGAAGACATCCCCGAGAACGTGGTTCATGACCATGAAAAGAACGGCCTCCCTCGTCTCTCTGCCTTCAGCGATGCAGAAATTCAGAAGCGGTAAGAACAGGTTCCTGCAGGGAGGGGCTTTTTGATACGTCCCAGGCTGGGCTCTATACTTGCCCTGTGTCCCACACTGTGCCAAGGACTCCAGGCGGCTGTTGGTTTGCATGAGGCAGAGGCCGCTTTGCACATGCCCAGAGTTCAGTGCATTTAAACTCAGAAATCTTTTTTTTTTAAATATATTTTATTGAGTTTTTACAGAGAGGAAAGGAGAGAGATAGTTAGAAATATCAATGAGAGAGAAACATCGACCAGCTGCCTCCTGCACACTCCCCA